TGGAGCCGGGTGTGCTTGCAGATGCAGAGAGGATGTTGGGAACTGCTCTGTGTGGAGAACGAGAGAGAAGAGAGACACAAACCTACAGAAGAAATCATGAAACGCAGCTTTAAACTAGAATGACCGAAATGCCCAGCCCGATCTTCGCGTTTAGATAAGTCTGTTTGTGTGTGCATGCTAATATCAGCATGTTTATATATGCGTTTACATTAAAGGCTCATTTTCCTGTGCGTGGACAGGAAGGCTGCAGGAGCGTCTGTGTTTGCAATAAGCTGAGGGAGCCGCAGGAGCCCACCAGTGAGGGAAGCTTGAGGGTCAAGGGCCCTTGGTTAGACACACACACACACACACACACACGCATTTCTGCCTGTTTGTAAGCTCCGCTGACTTCGGAAGCACGCTACAATAATTGCTTCCTGCAGTTCCGGAGGCTTCTCTCAGGGGAGAGTGGCTGTCCTGTCCAGCTCAGCAGAGCAAAGCTGGAAGGACCACAGCGGAGCAGAAAATTTCGTTACGGCGAGAACAGAAAGAGTGGAAGAGGAAACGGTGTAGTAGGACAGGAAAGAGATGAATAAGGTGGAAGAAACTTTTAAAAACCTAAAGAAAAACAAATGAGCTTAATCTATTATCCAGTTAGTCGACTCATTGATCCGTACCACGAATACTAGTCAGACAAATTACTTTATCTATGTACAACACTTTTAACTGTTCCTTCTGTACGCCAAGGGCTGCAACCCCGGCAGATGGCTTTCTGTCACTCTGTGACAGGAAGTTGTAAAGAAGCCAGGTAAAAGCGAGCTGTACCACCCAGCATGGTCCTGCAGCATTGGAGCTATGGAGCTACGTGTAGCCACATCCTGCACAGACATATGGATGCTAAGGCTGATGCTTATGTTATAGCAACACTATGCAAACGAATCTAGTATGATATGTTTGAGATGCTGTGCACGAAGGCACCGATTAACCAGTTTAGACTGTTTAAGTGGGTTCCTACTTTTATACTAGTTGACCAGTTAACTAGCGAGCACCTCCAGTTTAATCCATCCAGTCCTCAACTGTGTCCAGATTCTGTGTTGCTCAGGCTGAAAATAAGCCTGCTGGCTGTGGCGGCTCAGAAGACAAAATAAAAGCACTGTTGTGAAAGGAAGCAGGCACGATAATTGTTTTATCTCTTTTATCTCGTTTTCCTAATCCTTGGAGGCCACAATTTTAATTGAATAGACATTTCGATTAATTGCGTCACTCTAGTAAAAGTTCATGAGAACAAATCGACTGAGATAAAACCTTGATGAAAATCATTCTCGACAAACTATTTTCATTTATATTTCAAACAATGGTTTTATGCCGGACTTTAAACTGATCGTTAAAGCTCTCAGGCTCAGGTAGGTCACGTGAGAACGTGATTCAATGGTTGCAGACAGGATGATCCCATCCAGAAATTGTCTTCATGTGGATAAGCAGAAGAACGTTAGGACAGGAAAAGGGCAGGGCAAGGCGATACAGCCTGTGCAGTGTGTGTGTGTGGGTGTGTGGGTCTGTGTGGGTCTGTGTGGGTCTGTGTGTCAGGGCTCGTCGTCTATTTATCCACAGCTCGTCCTCGGAGAGAGCCAGCGATAGGAGCACATTGCTCCGTCCCTCCCTTCCTTCTGCATGGCTTCATCCCTGCTTCCGTTTCTGCCCGTCTCCCTGCTCCATTCGCTCTGTTTCCCAAGCTCGCAGCGCTGTGGCTGGCATCATCACGCATGCTTGGCCACGTCCGCGTGCGTTTGCCTGCACTGAGGCCAGCGTGCTCGTTCCGCTGGCAGAATATACCGATCCCACCAGGAGCACCTACAGCACGACCAGCTCTGCATCTTGCAGCACTTTGTGCTCTGATGCTGTGGCAGTTCTTGCCCAGGAAATTGTGAGCGGACGTGGTAAACTGTGACCCGCTGATGTGATTAAGACCGGTACAGACTGATGTCTTTGTGTGATCAGTTTAGTTACTGTGACATCGTAAACAATCAGCTTGCTGCACATTATAGCTTCTTTTTCCTCGATAGGCTAATGCTTTGCTAGTTTAGCATTCTTCTGAGGTTGTTACTGAACATCAGAGATAAATTTATGAATTTAAAAATTCTTTTAATTAAGTAGCGGGAGGCATTACATACATGTTCCATGTAAGTAGGCACAAGAGATCGCGCTTCTGGGTTTGGTCAATCTTCGGGGATGGCAGAGGTGGTTGTTGCTTTTGAATCTTATAATTTTGAAATTGTTATCAAAGACATGCCTTTCTTTATCTTTGCATGGAGGAGGGGAGCAAAAGGCAATGAGTTAACTGAAACTAAAATAAATGGATATTTTTCACCAGCCTGTCATTGAACACCGGAGTTTGACAGTCTGAGAAATGCTTAGCTGGAGTTTCTGAGGTTTCCCTGTTAGTTCAGTGAAGGCGAGATGCTTTTGAATCCACACTTTGCATATTTTATGTTTGTGTTAAACACCTGCAGCGTCATTCTGTCTGCAAACGCGATAGCTATAATTTGACTTATATCCACCAAGGTCTTCAAGTCAGCTTAATGATTGATTTAAAAAAATGACCAAAAGAAAAAACACCTCATAGAAAAAACACCACCACCCAGCTTGTGTATTGAAGGTCAGTAGACTGATCTGATCATTTAAAACTGTGTCTTACTGCCAGTGTTTGGACTGATGAGATGTAGGCATATAGGGAATGATAATGTTACAGTAACAGGTTGTAACTGTTTCAATCAAAAACATTTTTCACTTTATTACTAAACATTTACAGACATTTTACCAAAAAATGATCCTATACATGCATGATATCCACATAAATTGTGTCAGGTATATTAAAATGAGTCTCAGCAGGGTAAAATTACAAAGTTAAAGTCTATTTGAGGAGAGCAAAGAAAGCTAAATGAATATATAGAAAATATAATGCTGTTCCCTTCAAATAAACCATTGGCCCTGGTGGACGTTTGCCCTCTTGGAGCACTTCTCATATTTTTATGCTTTCTTGAGTTGTTCTTTAGTCACTGGACATTCAGCACGATGAAGTAATATAATGTGACCACAGGGTGATAGATGCTTTCTTGAGATGTCTGTCACATGTCATTGTGTCTATTTTTGGTCTGTTTTTGGATGAGGCGACTGTCACAAAGCATATGCAAGAACTTCCTCTGTGCATATGACATATAGATTATTGTGTGTCTGTGTGCGTGAGAGGGAGAGTTTGTTAGCGGTGACCTGAAGTATAAATGTGCATTTATAGAGAGCGCACCATCTGTCAGTAGGTCATCCTGGTTTGTGCTCATGTGTAGTGAAGAGCAGCTCGGAGAGCTCTCCCCATCCATCGCTACAGACACAGCAGCCCGCGATGACAGCACCGTGACCCCCGTGGGTTTGTCACGTCTGCAGTCATGCTAGATGACCTAAAAGGAAAAAAGCAGGATGTGGACAGGAAGGGCTTGGAGCTCATTGCAGCATCATATCATTCCTCTGTTTCATTGACCAGCCTCTGACAGACAGCTTTAATGATGACTCCAGACAGTCTGTGAGCCACTGACTTCTCATCAGAAGCGTCACAGAAGTGAACTGTTACTCACTAATCAGATAATCAGACAGAAACACAGTTTATTGTAAAGGAAAAGTGAAACACTGTGGGGGAAACGGGCCCGTCTGATTTCTCTGAAGCAGCTCAGGAAATTCAGCCATTTCACTTGAAATTGACAAACAGGAAGCTCAGCAGGAGCAAAGGTGACAAGGTCTGCTTATCTCTTCCTGTGAAGCTCTCCAAGTTACATCGCAGGTCTCGTCTTTGTGTAAAGTGAACCAATCATCTTTTTTAAAACCCTCGGTTTGCATGGAGCAGCCGTCCAGAACAAACTTGGCTTAAAGGAAAATAGAACATGACCGGTCTGAGATAATGAAGACTTACTCTGGATAAGAGCTGCTCTAGAATCTGAGAATATGCATCATAATGTATGAAAATCATGTGGAACAGGTGCCCGTGATCTTGTCTTTACTCTTTGAAAGAACCGTTCGTCTACGGAGATTACAAACACATAAATAGAGTCACGTGAAAGTGAGTCCTCAGCAGGGTGTAAAAGCAGAGAAATCTCACACCTTCATGTTTTACCTTCAGTCGACGTCAGTGACTATAGGAGGTTTACTCATTCGTCGCTTTGTGTGAAGCAGGTCCGTCATTCGCTGCTCTCGCTCTGCTGTACCTTCGTGTTTTTGTCTTCATGTTGGAAGTGAGAGCTGCG